CGAGTTCCCATACCACCAAACATGCTCGCCCTTTCAGCCGTGGGGTCGTTATAATGTGACGGTCAATCCCACTATTCGTGGGTTAAAAGAGTATCCCAAGAGTTGGCGGTGGGTGGTGATGATTAGCTGCATTTTCTCTAGTCTTTCACTGCTAAATGATGGAAGGCTAGCGCAGATAACCCTCGTGTAGCTTTGTGCGAAATTAAAAAAAAAACAAAAACAAACTGGCACTGTAAGTGAACTGTCATTTCTGACCGTACTTTCACTTTAGTGTCTGTTTCTATTTCTCCTGTCTGCATTTTTAGATTTTGATCTCCCCTTTCCCACAGAATATTATTAGTATGGCACCATATTTTAATTTTTTATAAACACCTTTAGTCACATCATTTAATGTTCCTGATACTAAGGACTTCAGTTTACTATTGTTCCAGTAGTTTAATTAATTATTGCCAACAAAAATGGTTTGAGCTTTTTATAATGTAATTTGACAAGTTACTATTGAAAGTATGAATCGTAAATCTTGAGCACTATTTCAGTAATTTTTAGTTATTTTGGATACAAGTGAACAGAGTTTTTTCTCTTCAGTAACTTCATTGTTTAATCTCGATATCAGCGACTTGTGTTTATTATCATTGCATCAGTAATTTCAATAGTTATTCCTGATAAGAGTTAGTTTTTACCTCTTCTTTATTAATCACATTAATTAATACTGATAACAGTGACGTAATCTTTTATCTCTTCTTCAGTAATTTCATTATTTATATCCAATACTAGCCACTTTGGTTTATTTCATTACTTCCTTAATTTCATTATTTATATCCGATGCTAGCCACTTTGGTTTGTTTCATTACTTCTTTAATTGCATTAGTTATATCCGATACTAGCCACTTTCGTTTATTTCATTACTTCCTTAATTTCATTAGTTATATCCGATACTAGCCACTTTCGTTCATTACTTCCTTAATTTCATTAGTTATATCCGATAATAGCCACTTTCGTTCATTACTTCCTTAATTTCATTAGTTATATCCGATACTAGACACTTTCGTTCATTACTTCCTTAATTTCATTAGTTATGTTCCGATACTAGCCACTTTCGTTCATTACTTCCTTAATTTCATTAGTTATATCCGATAATAGCCACTTTCGTTCATTACTTCCTTAATTTCATTAGTTATATCCGATACTAGACACTTTCGTTCATTACTTCCTATAATACCTTATTTTGTTATTATAAAAGAAATTCATTTGGAAAATGAAAATTTTTTCCTTGCAAGTTTCATTTTATTTTTAATCCTGATACTTCATTTACTTAGTTATTTTGTGTTTACTTTCTATTTACATTATTATGTATCATCGGTGGAAAGTGTTAAGTCAGAATTTTTTAAGTTTTATATTTTATACATGAAACCAGGGATCACATTTTACTCCTTACTCATACTTTGAGTCTGGAACTCATTTGCATCTAAAATTTTTAATTTCTCGTTCCTCATTTCAATGCTTCTTTTTTGTTGCATTTTATAATGATTAGTATTACGTTCATATGCTTATCCTGATACGAGTTACACCTTACAGCCCCTGTATAGACCTCTAGGTTGTTGTAAATTTTCAAAACCTTTAGACATATGTAATTAATTATACGAAACAAACTTCTGTTTATATTGCAAAATATTGTCCAAAGGGGTTGTACAATATATACGAATTAATTATACGAAACAAACTTCTGTTAATATTGCAAAATATTGTCCAAAGGGGTTGTACAATATATACGAATTTATATTTATGGAACAAACAAATTGATACGTCCTAAATTAGATTGATTTTCGTTCAAGAAGACGTAATCTAAAGATTGAGAAAGACAAATGGTAGAACATAATTTATGTCTTTGGAAATTAGATTATACACATCTCAAATGTTTCTGTCATGTCATATTTATTTTGAATTTCAACAAATGCTTAACGATTTTCAACCTCATTACGAAAATATGCAGATTGCATGAAGATTTAAATTAACTCAGCAAGTTCGAAAACTAAATTCGATTCCCCAAAGACAAATTTAAATTTTAAATTTAAAAATATGACCACTTTTCTTCTATTTGCATATGCTATCTATACCTTTAGATAATATTATAAAAAACTTGTAGTACAGAGGAAGTCAGTACCATGATGCTGACCATTTATAATTCATAAGATAAACGTGGCTATAACTTTTAGATGTTTTAGTATCTTCGGCTCAATGTCCGCAATTGATAAAAGATAAAATTGAACAAAATGTTTTTATTTGAAATTTTATATTTAACGTTTTGATCATTTCAGTCAAAACGAATGCAGTAAATATTTATAATTGGAAATGAGAAAGATGTTGAGAACTCCACAATACAGAAGGAAAACAAGACTTTATACTCTTGTCATTCTCTGTTCAAATATGTAAGCTAATCATTGCTTCTTAAGAATGTACGTTTTGATATGAAGTATCCTTCATGGATAGATTTTAATTATATTTCTTACTATCACATAATAAAATATGTTAACCATATACAAAGTTATGGATTTGTTGTAAACAGGAAAAAAAAATGCCTCGATCGTAATAATATTTGAGATGTCACACGCACATCCGGCAAAATCAGTTAAAAATTCGTGATTGTTAATACACAGAATATAAGGGAAATCAACACTAAAATTAATGTTAGTCAATACGTGGACCGTAATTCTTAAAACAGACACTGAAACTGGTACACAGGTGAGTTAAGTCAAGAGGAGACTTACTGAAACGAGCTATTGTTACGATGAAAACTTAAGGTTTGCGCTGAAGTTATACGATCAATTTTATTGTGTCTGCTAACAGGCGACTTAGATCTTTTTTTTCTTTGCTTTTTATAATTTTACAAAATGTGAACATCCGAGTTTCTTTCACACTTTTCTCCACAGCGGTGAAAAATACAAAAGGAAACTGTTCTAAGCGGAGAACCAATCTTAAGAGTACGGGCACTACTTGTGTTATCCTGGAAGATTCGATTTCATTAAGGATATTTTGTAAACACTGTCATTCTATTTCAAGTTTTCGGTGGAGTTTCTTAATAATCACAAAAATCTGTTTCATGAATAAACAAAACAGTCTATTCAGTTGTAGAGATATTTTAAAAACAGAAAACATTAAGGTCTAATGGAAAACTTAATGTCTGTCTAAAGTATTGACAACAGAGTTTAGTGTCTAATAATGGTTGGAGACGGCTTGAATGGGTAATGAAGAAAAACTTTAATATAAGTTTAACATAACAGCAAATGTACAAAACGAAACGTTGTACATTTGCTGTTATGTTAAACTTATAT